ATCGAAAAAAAAATTATAAGAAAAAATGTCATAGGGGTTGATTATTTCAACCCCTTACAAAAATAGTTCAGGGTTGAAAAAAATTCAAAAAGTGTAGTTTTATTGACAGATAATGTTCACCAAGTTTGGTTTCTTTAGCTTGATGTACATGGAAGATAAAAAAGAAAAACAATTTTTTTTTGTAATTTTAGGAGGGGCGTAACTTTTCAGGGGAGGGTTTTTTCAAAAAATTTTATACCAAAGACCCCTATTAATATTCATCGGAGAATCGCCCCTTGAATTTTTTCGGTGTTATTTAGATACACCATGTATAGAATTTTAACAGAAATCCAACTGTTTAAAAATATACAGGGTGTTCCATTGATTTCTTGATTTTGTACAACTTTTATATAAACTTTTTTTCGTATTATAAGTAACAAGGGAGTAAGTGTACTTTCTCACACTAATAGCCCTCCCTGTATTTATCTTAATCTCTTAAGACGAACTCACCCTTCCACCCCCAAGTGTCTTTTTTGTTACAGAAGGGTCTTTCTGCATGGAAAATTGTGACAATTTCTTCAACAATTCATTGGTTAAAAAAATTGTAATTTTAAAATAGCTTTAATATATCTCACCTGTATAGAATTCACCTTTATAGAATTCGATATAAAAAAAAACTATAACTGACAGGTACGACTTTTTTTCTAAATTAAAAAGGGGAAGTAACAGTCCAGACTGGACTCCAGGGGGAGACCAGAAACAACCAATCCACTTTGGAGGTCTTTTTTATACGTTTTACATTAAAATAATACCTAACCTAAATTGTCAGTGTACGCATAAGGGAAGCTTCGAAGTAAAATAGATTGGCACTATATGACATTTGTAACCAATTGCTTCCTATAAGTCGAATAATTCACCTAAACCAGTGGAGTTATGCTTCCTACCCAAAATTCAGCGTTTTTTACAAAAAAAATTATACAAGCATAATTTTAATTTAGAATTAACAGAACGATTGTCAACAAACTCACCTCCACTATTAATAACCATGACTCTGCATCCGCTGGAAGTTCTTGTTGGCAGGAAGGAAAAAACTTGGTCATCAAACACTTTCCTGACACACTGTGGGGTTATATTTATACCATAGTTGGGGTGTTTCACTTTGAATTTGTAAAACCGTTTTATAAATTTGAAAGCCAGTTCCGGTTGGAACTTACAAGGCCTCAGAAACTTGATTAGAAATGAGTCGTTGTCTAAGGGCACATACAGACTTTTTTCAGCTGAAAATAAGAGAAAACAACTGGTCTCATGAATGCCATAGATAATATTGGTTTATAAAACAGAAAACAATGCGAGCATGTAATTTTTTAAGATAATTTCAGATGTGGTACTTTTTGTTTATCTTCATTTGCTTCAATGCTATAACAAAATACATACAGTGATATTTTTTTAAAACCTGACATAGGCCAACTTTTTTATTTGCAGTGATAGACGAGTACCTACTTCCAAATGCAAAGTTGTAGGAAATAACTTGATTAAGAACAATTTACAAATAATTCTCTCCGGTGTTGCCAGATTTCTGCAGTAGCAGTCAGGCTTTAAAAAAATAGCACTGTATAAACAGGTTTCTATATTAATATAATTTTACCCATGTTCAACAAAGCTTTACTGTAGCTAATAAGTATTATCTGTTTTCAATTTTTGAATCAGTTTAGAATATTTGTTTACGAGGTACTGCAGAATGAATAGTTCTCTTCATAAAACAGTATACCTATATTTTATACAGTTCCTAGTTTGCTTATGATTCAAGAGGTGAAAATTATGGACACACCCTGTTCATTTACAGTGCTCAACATAGTCTACTTTTTCGAATTAATTGCTATTAAAATTTTCCGTGCAGCACAACTTTATACCTAGTTTAAACAGGCACATATGTTTTCCGTATTCTAATACTTTCTCCACCAAATTATTATATGAAACAGTTAATACGATCATAACTGTTTTTCGTATCTATTTGGGTATTTTACTATTTGTGAAGAAAAAGAATGAATGAAATAAGCCTTTTACATTTGTTTGCTTCGTTCGGTGAGATTTTTGGTCAAGCAAAACTAGATTTATAAAAACAACCCTTGACTAATCCTTTCGGTGGGATTATTTCATATTTTTCCAAATATTGTTGATAGGTGTGAAAATAACCAATTAAATAGAAAAAACAAAAAAAAATTAAATTATGCCACATACAGGGTGATCCATTAACAATGGGAAAATCGAAAGCTGAAGATACTACACGTGAAATGGTGACCATTGGCGCAAACATGCCTTATCCGAAGGTTGATAGTTTCAGAAATACAGGGTGTTGAAACTTAATTTTTAAATCGTTTTTTTTTTGCGATTATTCTGAAAATATGTAGGTTGGGAACTTGAAAATTTGTGAAACTATATTTTTTTAGGCGACGAATAAGATGCGTGTTGTAATTTCAGCATTGCTCATGGAGGGCTCCACTTACTACCAATTTTACCGAACATTTAGTTAACAACTTTTTACCCTGTATGCCTAACATGAAACTTGATTCAAAACTTGAAAGAGCAATCATTTTTCCATTAATTGTGTATTCTCGTTTCATTTCGGTATCTCGATCTGTTTTCGAGAAAAATCGATTTAACGAACACTATGTTTTAATAATACGAGAAATTAAAAGCCAAACAAACCAAGTGTTTCTTCGTGTTATTACAACAATTAGCAATAAAACAAATGAAATTCGTAATAATGATTTAAAGTCAGTGTTCGAAGAATCCACTGTTGACATTTACACACTTTACACAACGTTTTCTGAGAGATCTTCGAGTTTGAACCAACAATAGATTCTTCCAAATAGAAAAATGGAGACGATTGAAGTCCGGACTTCTGGGTGGCCAAGTAAAAATGCTTCCAAGGCTTGAAGAAGTTCCACTTTATTTAAGAAGTGACATGTGGTTCATGCACGACTGAGCTCCACCGCATTTTTCTAGGCCAGTGCGTGCATATTTAGATGCAGTTTTTCCAAATCGCTGAATTGGCCATGTAAGCATTTTTGCTTGGCCATCAAGAAGTCCGGACTTCAATCCTCTTGATTTTTCTATTTAGTCTCGAATAAAAGATATAGTTTACAAAGAATCTATTGGCTCGTGTGAAGAGTTGTGGCAAAGAATACAAATCGCTGCCAACGAAGTCAGACGCAATCCCAATACGTTGTTTCAAACTCGAACATCTCTCAGAAAACTTGTAAAGTGTATCAGTGTCAACGGTGGATTCCTCGAACACTTATTTTAAATCATTATTACAAATCATTTGTTTTATTGTTAATTGTTGTAATAACACGAAGAAACACTTGGTTTGTTTCGCTTTTAATTTCTCATATTATCAAAACATAGTGTTCGTTACATCGATTTTTCTCGAAAACGGATCGAGATAGCGAAATGAAACAAGAGTACATAATTAATGGAAAAAGGATAGCTCTTTCAGGTTTTGAATCAAGTTTCATGTTAAATATACAGGGTAAAAAGTTATTAACTAAATTTTCGGTAAAATCGGTCGTAAGTGGCGCCCTCTATGAGCAATGCTGAAATTACAACACGCATCTTATTCGTCGCCTAAAAAAATATAGTTTCACAAATTTTCAAGTTCCTAACCTACATATTTTCAGAATAATCGCAAAAAAAACGATTTCAGATTTTAACTTTCAACACCCTGTATTTCCGAAACTATCAACTTTCGGATAAGGCATGTTTGCGTCAATGTTCACCATTTCACGTGTAGTATCTTCAGCTTTCGACTTTCTCATTGTTAATGAATCACCCTGTATAAGTCACCTCAGATACTATGATTATTACTAGGTAACACAAATTATGATCATTAAATATATCCGTAGCAAATCTCTAACGAAAACAATATTTCCAGAATTAGGTATTTAGATACAAAAATATTGTGCAGTCGTTTATAATTTTATAACTGCTTCAGATATACAGGGAATAACCAAAATGTTTAACCAAATTTTAATGTCATAAAGTAACTATAAGTGCATGTTCGAAAATGTTCGTTTTCAATATACAAGGCAATAAAAATTGAAAAATAAAATGGTTAAAAAAATTGTTGAAACTTTCATTACAATTTTATTATCTATAATCACATACATTGTCATAGGTTGTTTCTACATATAATTTTCAGATTAAATTTAATAATGTTTAATTCATTTTTTTTGCAAGCTGCTTAAATTTGACTTTTTTATAGAACATTAAATGCTATACCTGCTATAGAAATAATGTATTATTTACATGATTTTCGTCAATTGTTTTAAATATCCTGTACCTGAATAAAACCATTATCAGGCAAAAATTTCAGTATCCTGCATAAATTTAAATAAATGTATTAACGTAAACAAATTGTTACGATGAAATAAAAATCCTTTTACAATTCCATTCATTATGTGAGGACTTACAAGACGAAGTTCATTGCTTTGTTTATGTTTACATACTTCTATAGCTGGTTCAATGACTGGTACCTCTACATTGCAAAGATCGTGTATAGTATTCAATTGTTTTCCATAGCAAATTTTAAAAGAAACACGTTAAAAAGTCAATTACCAATAATTGAGTCACGTTCTAAAATCTCAGTGGGTAGTTGACGTTAGTAACAATAAAAAAAATTCATGGCAACGAAATAATTTGTTTTATTCTACTCTGCCATTTCTGCCTTGTATTACCTTGTTGGTTCTGCACAAAGTAAAAGTAAAAATGTATGAAAACAAATTTGGAGAACGAAAACTTCCTTTAGACGTGGAAGAGGAGCATTAGAGGCCGTGGGGAAACTATCGCTTCAAAAATCGCACGTTGTGGATGTATTTGTTTGTCAACAATCAGTCGTGGATTTTCTGAACCCCCAAATGCGGCAATTTTGTCGATTAACGAAGCCATCAAGATGAAAATGAGCCTCATCGCTGAAGAAGAATTTGTTAGAAATATCAGCTTCCATAAGACATTCAACGAACTATCTTCGTTCCGCGTGGTTAGTAGGCAGTTCTTGAGTTAATTAAACTTTGTAATCATGAAAATGCATCAGAAGATCTTTATCAACTATCAACAGAAAAACTGTGCTATCTAATCTGAAGGAATAAATGGTTTGTACAATACTGCAAATTTTTTGAAGTTACCCAATTCAGAAATATATAAGAGGTATAGATGCAAAACTCATACTCATACATAATTTTTCGAAATAGAGTTATAGTGACGCTATCTTGTTCATCGTGTTAAACTACACCATTTTAAAATTTAGAAGTGGTACAAACTCACATTTTCGTATTAATTTTTAAATTGTGAAATCTGTGAATTGTTTCAAAAGTCACAATCTCCTACGATCTGAAGGTGCCAAAACTCACATTATCCATATCCACCAATGAAAAAGCTTAAAGCGATAAACTAATATAGCCGACTGCCTAAGGAGAATGTGAGTTTTGCTTCTCGTATTGTTTTGCTTTCCTAGATGGTTGGTTCAGTGTTTTTCTATGAGTTTCTGATTATAAGTAAGATAAGTTTAGTTCTGAAGTTTCATATTTAAATATCGGATATTAAAACTTTTTACTGTCAACATTTTTTATACTTTGCAATTTTAGATTCATTATAAAAATATTTCTCTTCATCACTGATAATAAAATCGCATCTAAGTTTTTTGTGCAGCTTTTTGATTATGAACTACCACATTACATAAAAGTTTGATTGATATTGAGTTTGTTTCAAAGTTCCTTTAATTTCATGAATAATTTGGAGCAAAACTACCATTATCCAAAAAGTTGTATCAAAACTCACATTATCCAAACTTTAATTCACTTTCTTGGAGTCAAATATTGTTGTGCTGCCATTTCACCAATTAAGAAGCAAAGTTAAAGTTCTAATACAATACCAAAAAAAAAAAAATTCAGATCCTTAAGTCACTTAAAAAGCGAGAAATCAGTTATTCCTTCTTCCTGAAAAATTTAAAAAAGTGGATAATCTGAGTTTCGCATCTATACCCCTCATATACCGGCCACTGTTTTGATTTGTTTATCTCTGCAGCCACAATGCTGATAAATTATGGTGCTGACCTCATAGCCACTCATAGCACTCAAGTGTCCAGAAGGATGCAAGCCATCTTCAGTGGCCGGAGATTATATAGAAGACTCAGAGCAAGAAACTCCCCGTTAAAATGTTACCTGATCTGTTGATTTCAGTTTCACTCTTTGTCATTTGCTATATAAACGAATAAACATCTACTGAAATATTTTTCATTAATTGATAATCTCCTTAAAATTAGCCGTTTTCTAAATATTTTTTTTTATTATTTATATATATTTCCCTCCAAAATATTTCCCGGAATTCGACAATATGATTCCGATATCAATCTAATGAATTTGATGTTAATTTTCATATAATCCAAAGTACATTATACATTTTTAAATGTTTTTTTCTTTTAATTTGCAAGGATAAGTAATATACTACTAATAACCTTTATACATCAGCGAAGTTTATGTTCTAAAAACAATAATAATTGGTTATTATAGACAATACATATGCCGGCATGTCATGTCCTCAACTATGTCGCAATAAGAATAGAAATTGATTCATTTTTGCCTACCTCATGGTCAAAGTTATCAAATTATAATTGCAAGATTTTTTTGCTTCTATAAGAGGCCACAAATACTTTCTTTTTTTTTCGACAAGTTTACCTCTTGAAAATAATCGAACTGAATAGAGTGTTTTTAATTTCACAATAAAATTATCTATTTCATTTAAAATTATCTGTCGATTCGTAATTAAATTTACCTCATTATAGTACTCTCACAACTTCTGTGTGCTGGAAATATTTTTTAACTGTAGAAACTCAAAGCTTCTTTAAACCTTGTTTATTTTTTTATTTACATACTATGTTACCTTCTGGAATATACGCAAATATAAACTTCGTATTACCTTCAATAAGTTGCCGAAGTTTCTTCAAACCGTGCTCGATATTTTCTGGAATTTCCCTAATTTCTTCGACAGCTCGTTCCTTCTCTTCTTCATTAAGCTCCTCCAGGTCCAGTCGTAGCTGATGAGTCCCAAGTTGAATGAAAGGGACGTTGTCCTCGCCCGTTTCAATGCATAAAACCATATTTGACACTGAATATAAGGCCAGTATTGATTGAAAATTCAGTGAACGTACTTGCCAAAAAATAATCTGAAAAGAATAATGATCAAATAAGTATATACAATATTTAGTTATTGATTAATATTCTATAATATGCCTTTTGAAGAGAAATGATATGAAATTCTTTTCCACTTAGGTATTACAGTTGATACGTATATAAATCTAAACAAATGAGAATTTGTAGGTCATAGGCTAATAAAAATCTAGAGCATCCAGTGAACATTCAATAATTGTTCTCTACATTCTGATGAGTTTCAAATAATTGGAAGTAGATAGTAGGAAAGTCCTTCATTCTATAACTATATTCATTCATTTCAAACAAAAAGGGTAAAAGGTTACGCATAATTTGCATAAAAAGCAACATTTTGACAGAGGTACGAATTGTATAAAAGTAGAAGAATTAGAAATTTAAAACGCCGTACTATATTAAGTCAACAAATTCTAATACATATTTATGATAAATACAGTTTATGTTTAGCAGCACGAATAAAGTTTAAAAAATATACAGGGTGGGCCACCATTAACGCCTCGGTCGCTAGGGATCAAACAGCAAATGTTATAGAAACCTGTTTAGGTGGGTACGTGTAAGTTGAATACGGCTACATTTTAAAAATATTTTAAAATATACAGGGTATCCAGGAAAAGCGTACCACATCAAAGTTATGTATTTTTCAATGGAAGACCCTGTATTTTATTGCATTTTTGAAAGCACCATAAAAAAATAGGCGAACTTTATTAAAGGTTCTACATACCTGGTACTTCTGGTTTGTGAGATATGTATTTCAATTTTAGTGAAAGAGAAAGAGTTTAGGCTTAGCGTAGAAATTTAATCTAAGCAATAAAAAAATAATTTTAAGGAAGAAGTTTTGGAGAATGTATTTTAGATCCTTGAAATTATAAATTATTATATTTGTCGTCACTTAGTATTGTACAGGGTGTTCAAAAAACTGCTGAATACTTTTCTCAACTTTAAACAGCAGTAAATTGGTTATTTTAAATGAGACATTGAGTATAATTTTACTTTGGTAGTTAGAAAATTTAAACTCTTTAAAAACTCTTTCAAACTGTGTCCCTATGCCTATCTCTAACGGTATTGGAGATATTTGTGCCGTTTCGTTTTTTATCGAATTTTTTTGTAAGATGTATCCACGTGTTTTCATCCAGATCTTTTTTTAATAGGGTTGGGATCTAAAATGCACTGCACAAAGCTGCTTCCTTAAAATATTTTATTGCTAATATTATATTTCTACGCTAAGCCTGTATTTTCACTAAAATTGAAATATCTCACAAACAATACGTCCTAGGTATGCAGAACCTTTAATAAAGCTCACCTATTTTCTACGGTGCTTTCAAAAATGCAGTAAAATACGGGGTGTTAAAAACACATAACTTTGATATAGTACGCTTTTCCTGGACACCCCGTATATTTCAAAAGATTTTTAAAATGTAGCTGTAATCAACCTACACATACCCACCTAAACAGGTTTCTATAACATTTGCCGTTTAGTCCCTAGCCACCGAGGCGTTACTGGTGGCCCACCCTGTATATAATACCTTTAGAACGAAACGAAACTTTTCTTATATTTACAAATATTTACCCTAAGGAGGCGCATATTACCCAATATATAGTACACATAGTATATTGTTCAAATGTATTTTCAACGTGTGATTAGTTAATAATTCTCGTCATGTTAGAAAATCTACTGTTTTTTTTTTTGAGGTTCGTAACGTTAAAATACATTACTTCTTACGAAAAATATTGGCAGTCCTTTTGACAATCTTACACGAACGTTAATGAAAGTAGTTCAAAATAAATTGTTCTTTTAAACGTCAATAAAACGTCAACTCAATGATCAATTGACATTAAACTAAAACATTTGTGTTTTACAATACAAACACTTGTAAAACATATAAAGCGTATAACAAACGTTTTACGTTTTATAAACATAATAGTAAAGTATAATAATTTAATAATGATAGGAATTAAGAATCACAATTATGTATACATATACTCAATAGTGAGCAAATGACATTTTCTTAATAACAAGGTTTTGCCTCATATTGTTTTAAAATAGTAGCAGCATTCACAGTACGTTGCTTGCATTAGTTAATAAAAAAGAATGAATTGTCGTTTTTTACACGTATCATTAACGCTCTATATAATAATCTTGATTACGTGCTATATGTACCTACCGCTTATTATTTTTATTTTACATATCATTAATGTAGTTTTTTCTTAAATACATGTTCTGACCTACTTATGTCTTTAAGCAACCTACTACGAAAAAATTTATAAAAATATAGATTTTTCGAGAGCCGAAAAGGACTATATAGTTCTTTTCGGCTCTTGGCTCTCGGCTAATTAGCATATGCTAATTATATAGAGTGAAAGAGAATGTCTGTAACATCCAGGAAAATCAATCAATAGCGAACATAAATAGAAACATTATTTAACAGTTTGTTAATGAATAATCTTTTAAAGAGCATATAGCTATTATTACATTATACTAATTCTAGTTTTTTCTGTTTACTTTCAATTTAATCGTTTTTTGTACCAACGAAAGCTTAATGCCTTTTTATGAATGTTTAATAAATTCATATTAATATTTATTATATTTAATTTGATTGTTTTTAAGCCTTACTTAAAATTGACATTTTATAGAGACTATTTGTTGCCATATATCCTACGTTCAAGCATAATATTCCTAATTATGTATATTCTACAGTCTATACCTTTCATATTATCCAGATTTAAATTGCGTTTACTAAAAATCTTCATCAAACATTATTTTGAAATGTAGGTACCTAAAGAATATTAATACCAAAAATGATTGTTTCACGTTTACTAATATTAAAAGTTTACTCTTTCGTTGTATGAAACGTTTAAAACTACTACATTAAATTGATTGTACATAAGTAAAAACGACACGTTTTTCTCAAATGATGTTTGGATATTATATACGTCTTTCCAACATATGTGTCTTTACTGAATTGGAAACTGTAATTTTATTAAAATTACGATGAATTCCATAACTTTCCCTAAGTTCGTGCAAAAGTGTGATTTTTTCACAATTAATTTGTGTATGAAATTGAACATACTTAACTGTTACATTTTAAATTTGTGTATAAAATTTAAACATAGATCTTAATAGATCTTCATAGATAGGAGTGTACCGAAGGTACAGAATAACGTCCTGTTATTAGATTTTATATAAAAAATTGCTTACCTATATGGTTTCTCAAAGATTGTCCCCTCAAAATATTGTAGCAGAAATTATTACCGTAAGAAATATTAAGAAAGGAAATGCAGTTGAATAGACTAGAATTCAGAACCAAAACCAAAAAAACAGAGCAATCCTTAAAAAAAAAAGATTTGCTTTTGAAGAAATTACTAGAAACCAAAATTGAAATACATATACACATTATTTTAATTTAGATACTTAAAATTTGTTTAGAAAAAAAAAATGTAATTACGATTCGAAAAATTAAGGACTGTTAAATTGAAGGAAACATATTTTTAATTTGAACATCAACAAGTGCTGATTTTGTAAAACAGATCTCTATATATTTAATTTAGTGAGTAAAAATTTGTAATTAGTAAAGCTCAATTATTTTGAAATGTACTTCTCTAACAGAGCTTAGTTTTTCTAAAATTATAGGTATAATGCTGAACATAATTTTCTTTGCCGAATAGAAACATTTATATTAGCTGTATTATTCTGTATCCACTGACTATGTATCTGAAATTTCTTAAAATTTCGCATAAAAAATTTGTAAATTAATAAAATGTAGTAAATTATATTCAACTTAAAAAAATGTAAACTTAAAATAAAATGAACAAATTGTTTTTAATTTAAAAACGTTAAGATCTAACTTAAATAACTAACAGAAAAAAAGTGAGTAAAAATTTGTAATTAGTAAAGCTCAATTATTTTGAAATGTACTTCTCTAACAAAGCTGTAGTTTTTCAAAAATTATAGGTATAATGTTGAACATAATTTTCTTTGCCGAATAGAAAAATTTATATTAGCTGTATTATTTTGTATTCATTGACTACGTATCTGAAATTTCTTAAAATTTTGCATAAAAAATTTGTAAATCAATAAAATGTAGTATGTAAATTATATTCAACTTAAAAAAATGTAAACTTAAAATAAAATGAACAAATTGTTTTTAATTTAAAAACGTTAAGATCTAACTTAAATAACTAACAGAAAAAAAGTGAGTAAAAATTTGTAATTAGTAAAGCTCAATTATTTTGAAATGTACTTCTCTAACAAAGCTGTAGTTTTTCAAAAATTATAGGTATAATGTTGAACATAATTTTTTTGCCGAATAGAAAAATTTATATTAGCTGTATTATTTTGTATTCATTGACCACGTATCTGAAATTTCTTAAAATTCTGCATAAAAAATTTGTAAATTAATAAAATGTAGTAAATTATATTCAACTTAAAAAAATCTAAACTTAAAATAAAATGAACAAATTGTTTTGAATTTAAAAACGATAAGATCTAACCTAAATAACTTACACAGAAATTTTTAATAAAATGTTACCATCTTAAAATATTTCTGATATATTTTTTTAAATAATACGAAGAATTACCCTATACAAATTTTAGACCACCTAGGAAGCGCACTGCATATAAAAAAATTGTAAATGCAAATTTTGAAAAAAAATAATATAATTTATAAACGAAAATGGTAAATACTTACAGCGCTTTAAACGGTACAGTACACAGGTCAAATCTTATGCAAGCGTTACAATATACCAGATCTGGAAAGATGAAAACACTCACTCACGCTTTCACATGAAGTAAAGCATTAAGCGAACCTGGCACAAAAGGTGTCACTCACTTGGTGGAATACCCACCACACATTCGGAAGTAACTATCGTGTATGGTTAATTTATAGATCCGACAGATTGATTATTCCCCCCTACATTACATTTGTAACACAGAAATGCATTTTGGAGACAGAGACTTTATGTCAAAATCGTCCGTTCGGATTAATAATTTAATTTTGTTTTAATAATATGTATAATTAATTCTTAAATTCGCACATTGTCTATTATATATTTCAAAAAACTGCCATTATATGTATTTATTTTTTAAATTTTCAGTATAAATATATTTAATCTATATCAACAAAACATAGATAATTTCGAAAAATACTGAAGGCATAAAGACATCTTAAATTGTTGGTTGGAAAAATAATTTTTAGACGGTATGAGGGATACAGAGTCATCTCCAATACTCTATCGATAATTTAAGGGTGAATAGTATAATATTGAAAAATGTTTTAAGAAATTATTGGTTATGACCTTGAAATCTCACAGACATTTTGAACAATCACACAGCCACAAAAAAAGTCCAAACCCACCTATCATTTCAGAAGAAATCCAATGCGCTGAAATTGAGAGAAAAGTGAAATTTTTGGGTGAAACTGGTCAAAACTGATTTTTTTCCTAAATGAGTATATAGGTATCATTTTCCCAGTATTTTGAGGCGCTGAAAAGGATGCCAATAGTAAAATTTACCCATAACCTTAATACTTAGAAAATCCACTATTAAGGTGAAAACTTGCCCAAATATGGATTTAGATCGAAATTTGTTTGAATTTTGAGCACTCGAGAAACCTAGAAATAATTATGAGCACGAGATTAAAACACTAATAATGTTTTATTGCAACGTGTGATGGTAATAATAATAATAATAATAATAATATATCTACTCCTCATTCTAATTACGAGAATTAGCCCAGAAGTCGGAGACTTGTGCGGGAGAGGAGGCGGCATATTATTATTATTACGCAGGCCGCATTTACGCCCAAGAACGACTTATGTTGGTAGGCCCTAACCACCATTCAGTGCAGGAATGAGGGAAACCTGGAAAACCTCATTAATTAGGGGGGTGGTCAAATGCCAACCGGTGTCAATCTCTCACATTGACCTAAGCCAACATTCTTCCACCCTACCATACCTGCACAGAGGGCGCCAATCCCCCGTACAAGTATAGTAATAGTTTAAATAACTAGGTGGATTTGACAGGGTCCAACGACACTTATAGTGTACGATAATTTAATAAACATAGAAATCTAAAAAAAATAGACATATTTGGAACGAATACATTGAAGATTAATTTTTCAAGACAAAACGTCTGAATTTGATTCGGGCTGAGGCAGTACAGTATCATGAATGCTTGCAAAAAATGTAATAAAATTTCCAGGGTCGTATTTAAAAAATTAAGTTGATGATGGTCCTGGAGAGACGAAACGTTACATATAAAAATTGATTATGCCATTCGATAGAGTGCAAAAAGTTACCATGAGAAAGTGTTAATCTTTTTTCAATATCGCTTCAAAAAGGGCTGAAATGAAACAAAAACGGATTTCCAAAATTTTGATTTTTTTCAAATATTTTGAAAACTAATCATGTTGATTTTTTAAGGCACAATGTTGGTCCCCTGATTACGCAACTTCTCCTCCATTTAAGCAACTTCGTATCTCTTACCGAGATTCCTGTAGTCAGAAGAGAACGCTGCATACCATTTTCGTAGTATTTTGGCCAGTTTTCACCCAAATAGTGGATTTTCTGAGAAATATCCAGCTCATGGGTAAATTTTACTGATGGCATCGTGTTCAGCGTCTCAAAATACTACGAAAATATTTGAACAAGATCTAGGAAAAAATTAGTTTTGACCCATATTTGGGACAGTTTTCATCCAAAAACTTTTCTCTGAAATGCCGTCACGAATTTTGACTACAGGATCGTGATCAACACCTCGAATTCCTTCGGAAATGATATGTGGCTCTGTTGGATTTCAACTTTTTTTTGTGCGACTGTGTCAAAGAAAGTGCTTTAGTTACGATATCGCTAAAAAATATTAAATTTTTATAATAAGATAATGTATTTCTATTTTAAATGTGTTTTTGAAAGTTGTTCTGCGGTTACTTCCTTCATCAAAAACAAACTTTTTTCGGTAACTGTAGCTGTGCTTTGGAAATTGTTCGAATTGTGTGGTATTTCAAAGCGTATGCGGTAGATGTTACAAAATTTTACAGAAAATATGAACTGAACTTTCTCAAAAATGGTTCGATTTATTAAAATTAATTTTTTTTATTTATTAATATTTTTAAACATTGTTTAGAACAGATTAAAAATTAAAAAAAAATGGAGATAAACTAGTGACAGTGGCCCCCTGCAACTACTCCTTACACAACATGTGTGGTTTAAATAATGCTGTGTCTAGATATCCCAAGTATAAGATAGGCCTAAAATATCTCGAAAGACTTTTAAGATATCACAAAAGCTACGTTATTCCGAAAAACTAAAGTGCAGTCTCAGATTAGTGACAACTTATTCCAGTACACAGTAATCTATTTTTATTAAATATTTTTAAAAAGGGTTGTTATTTTGCTTCAAAAAATAGTTTAGATAAATTATACATATAAGTACAAATAACTGCACCTTTACTAATATTATACTGCAGTTATACAGATATTAGATATAATCTACACTGGTTTAGTACATATTAAACCTATCTTCATCGTTATATTTTATTTCATTGTCAGTAAAGTTCATAATAATGCCCTTTTTATAAATTTAAATAAAATTCATAATTTTTAGAAGCATCTTCATGTTTGCTGGTCTTTATTATGTTCATAAAAGTGTTACAAGAAAATATCCCTTTCTGGCTTTAGTAATTAAGTGAAATGATTTACATTTGTAATTCTTGGAACACAATTAGGTATTTATTACACGTTGTTATACACCTTGGATATTAGATACGTATAGGCATTAATTGAAAATAATGATAATGTCAAAATGATTGAATATAATATAACAACTAATTGATTATAAATGAATTTTTAATGTCAGATCACTTACAGAAATCATGTTTATCTTTTGATAATAATAGTGAAATAGATATACCGCGTACGGAATACGTATTTAATAAACTTTGCACTGTTTTTGAGATAAATAATTAATAGTTCAAGAACGTGTAATGATAGCCTTACAAAGTTCGATACAGTAGATATGTTTTTATTATATACCTATTTATTCAATACCTACAACGTCATGCTAACTTCCACGCCTATGAGTTTTAGTTATCTCTACTTTGTAATAACAACAGATTTACAAAAAAATCTCTTGTCAAAACCGTACTTTCTACATGACAATGAATGCATTTTCATTTTGTTTTAGAGTAGAAACTAGTTTTTCAAAATAATTTTTGATTAAAAATATGTAGGTAACGCAATATTTCTTATGGTACCAACAAATTAAAAAAAAATATGTTTATAACATATAACTTCGTTTAAGAAGGTTAGATTTAGGGAAAGTGTAAACGATATTATAAAAAATTTACCAGGTGTCTCAGTTGTATTATTCCAATAGCATATCTCCATTACTTAAAAAACTATAAACTTTAAATTTGGGGCATCTACATACATCTAAACTTCTTTAAATTGGGCCTAATATTAAAATTCTTTCACTTCCGGTTTAACCAAAATCGACCGTATGTTTTTTATTTTAAATGACATCCTGTATATTTTTCTTAGAATTTTTTCGTGTATTGCACTTTGTATTTAGACTTCAAATCAGAAGTAAAATTGCAATTTAAATGTCTTCAACATTGGGATTATAGAAAATTATGAAAAACGTGCATTATTTTGGATTTAAATTTCAAATTAGCAAAGATACACTTTCCAAAAATTGTATTTTCAAGATCTCTGTAAAAGATAATTTAGGTACAAATATTTTCTTGAAGGTGAAATAATAGAAAAGTAATGTTAAATGAATTAGAAAAACATGTTGTACCTATTAATTTTATTTTTTACAAGAACGATATTTATGACTCTCTTGACACCAAAGACTAACCGCGAGCGACAGTAAAGATGTTAAAGAAAATGTTCAAAATGTCCATTTGATTCAATGCAACATTTGGCTCGATGCAAAAGTTCATGAGAGGTAACATTTTTTAATAATTCGGCATTTTAAGAAGTTCATACTCATTTCGATTTATATTTTTTAAATTTTCAAATCTGCGGAGGGGTCTAGTATATGTACAGATCTAATATTATACTATATTACATCTATCCCATCCTTCAAATATCCCCATAGAAAATAATCTAAGGGCGTTAGGTCGGGTGCTCTTGTAGGTCATCTTATGGTCTATATGTGCCGATCCACTTGTTAGTGTAAATTTGATTTAAATAAGCAACTGCAATTCTAGAATTGTAGTACCTGGAAATTCGATCTGAAGGAATTCTAAATATGCCTCATCAGTTCCTTCATAAAACTTTGGTCCGATAATGTACCCACCGGCTAGCCATGCAAGAAACGCCAGTCTTCTGTCATAATCACCTGGTTCTAATCCTTCATCCAGATGGATTTTGAAAGGTCCGAATTTGCCGGATTTTAGGATTCGCTGAATAGAAGAACGAGAGATATCGCATTCTGCTTCAATTTCTCAAATTGAAATATGAACTCATTTCCCAAAAGACCAACATTGTGCTCTTCATCAGTAGCAGTCTTTCTTTTAGAAACAGTTTTTTGAGGCCCCACATGTCACTAAATTTGAAGGCAGACGTGTACAATACTTAACACTTATATTAGTACACGTCTGCCAGGATATCACTCTCCATAAACACGGAAGGCATCACGCCTGTTTTTTTCTGCAGTTCTCAATTCTTCATTTTAAATATGTACCAATTTTGTTCGAAGCATCTTATTGATACAAATTTTAATAATACTTTATTCATGGATTGTCAAAGTACCTAAACAATCAAATTTATTCAAATAATTTCAGTCTGCTTTTAGTTTTTGTAAACCGCTTTGATTTGTAGAGGTAATCTCAATTTTGG